CGCAGTGGTGCAGCCACTCTCAAGTGTGGCGCCGCAGTGGGGGGGGGTTTGGGGGATAGTGCGAGACCAGTGCATTGAGCTAACACAAGGACGACAAGCAGAATTGATCATGACCTGGTCAACACACCCGGTCACTCTCAGTCCCTCTCGACGATCTTGGTGGTTGTGGTACTTGAAAGGTATTTGAGGGGTGAATGACACTGTGAACTACCCGGCCAGTAGAAGAACAAGTTACCCCATTAGCACTTTGCGCGACTAGCGTTGCTTGACAACCACGGCATACCACGGCCATCTCATGTGCCCTCGGTTCAGGCTTTGCTTAGTCTTCATCTTCCCGCTCTTCGTCCCAGTCACCCTCTTCATACTTCAGCTCATGAACTTTAATTTTGTCCTTTGCCACCTTTCCCTCAGCTGTTCACAAGCCTGGCCTTTCCCTGAAGGCCGAGGTCTTCTTCTGCATCTTCAACTCTGGACTTAGCTTTCAAGGTCGCTTGGAGAAGGAATCATCTCCCAATCTGAAGGCTCATGTCAAGTCTTTCCACTATGAACTGCACTTGATCGCGCCTTGCTTGGCAAAATCCAGAAATTCTACTCAGAAAAAGCCGGCAGGTTGCAAGAATGAGGCCAAGGAGCCTGAGAAGCTCAGCCGACTCGGCGATGCGGACACAATTGGACCAGATCTCGGAATGGATGAGGAATTGCATGGAGCTGGGCGATGATTTCAAGCATCAAAACCTTCTGGATTGCTGCTTTCAACATTCATGAGTTTCTGGAACCGGGGTTGGTTTGGTGTCCTTCTACCTCTCGCCACGTGCCTCCAGAGGCACCTGGAGCGCCCGATTCCGTGCCGTGCAAGATGGATCATCAAGATGCCGAGGGCTGATCGGCATCGTGGCGCATCCCGAATCCGGAATCGATCCGATTGTGAGATCCGCAGCCAAGTCAGGGACCGACTATACCCTATACGGCTCCGGGCCCATCTCCTCAGGTTCGGTGGTTGGACCCCCCTGGCACCCACCCCAACCACCGAACCTCAGGAGGTGGTTGGAGCCCTAGGGTATATACGAGTTTGTCGCGCGCCGAGGAGTTTGTCCTCGCACCATCGGAGACACCCTTATTTTCGATCGTGGCACATGAACCGGAGACACCCTGTTCGGGGCCGGTGTTGATCCTTTTTGGAGGGTAAGGGGTGTTTGTGGGTGAATCGTTGATATCAAGTCCCAGGCACGACCTGTTTGGGACTGGCATATTGATATTAATTAGGGTGGTTGAAACGGGGTGAATGTGGGTAAATACCTGCCATACCTGGAGCGTTTAGGAGTTACACCCTGAAAAGAGACCCACATGGAATCTGAACAGCACTGGTTTGTTTCCAGCATGTGATTCCGCTAGTCAGCTAGTCTTGCAGGTCCATGCCATCAGGTTTCATGTGGGTCTTTTCCCCCCGCGTATATTCTTTTCATCTCATCCCTAAGAACTTGTAGGGATCCAAGTACCTTCTCAGAAGGTGTTTGGGGTGGCTGTGGAGGGTCCAAGTGCCTTCTGAGAAGGTACTTGGATCCTTAGGGAATGCTTGGGCCCGATCGGGCCCCTGCAAGTCTCGGGTCCGGGGTCCGGACCCGAAACCAAACCCTAATGTGTTGGTTCAGGCCCCGATTCTTAGGGTTAAATACATGAGGTCAGATGACATGTGCATTGTGATTCCCTTTTCATATTGCCTTTGCTTCTTGAACACGCAGGGAGTCACAAGTTCGCCCAAATCAGAAGCCTCCGACGGCGCCACCGAGCCCAGGCCCTCCGTTTCGCTTTCATCACGTTCTCCTAGGTGCGGCGCTCGCGGTAAAAAGGGTGGAATGTTCAACCATTGCTTGTGTCATTCATAACACAAATCGACAATTTCATGACAAAACTTGACCCCACTGGAGATCATGCAGCTGAGTTCTTTTCATGTATTTTTAGTCTTCAGAGAAACAACGTATTCGAATGTTTGGAGACACTTTTGCTTGGTCGTGGGTCCGTTTTACAGGGGAGCATGAGCAGGAGCGATCCATTGGAATGGATGAGATGTCGATGTGGCATGATTGCGTCACGTTGTGTCAAGTTGTTACGTTGTTGCATCATGTGGATTCGCATTTGCGCCGCGCCATGTCTTTGGGCCTAAGAAGATGTGCCATACATTTTGACACCTTAAACATGGCGCTTCATTTTGTGGATTGATGTGTTTGTTGGTGAGAGCAACAAATACATTCATTGATATAATACGAACAGTGAGCCTCCAATAAACCAGCCCTGGAGCAGTAAAATTGCAGCAAACATGTTTGTCCACGTGGCTGCATTGAAAGCATCAACCGGTCTGCAGGTGACATGTACCTGGAGCTGTTGCCTGGAGTCGCTTGCCTAGACTCATCTTACGTATGAGTTTCTTTGCAGTTATTTCGGGGCCCTCCATTGCAGGGGTCCGGACCCTCATAACCCTTATGATCCTTATGTGTTTGAGGGCCGGATTCTTAGGGTAAACAATAAATACATGAGTTCAGATGACATGTCTCTTTTATTCCCTTTTCATATTGCCTTTGCTTGCTTCTTGAACACGCAGGGACTCACAAGGAGCCTGAGGTTTATGCAATGAGGTGAAGGGATTGCCACGAATAGGCAGCAGTGTGCAGACTGCGCCCCATCGTGCCCCTCGCGTCGTGGACATGTGATGCGCCAGTGATCCCACAAGCTGCAACCCGTTTCGTGGGGGATGGTGTTGGGGTGAGTGGTAGAAACCGCACGAAATGACCAGCCAGATGGCATGGCCTACACTGGCCGTGGCAGGCTATGGTGTGTTTGAAGATGGTATGTGTTAAAGCAAGAAGCCAAAAAGACGAGAGGTGCGGAGGGACGGTCAAAATAGAACTTGTTGGAGTGGAAGGAAGTTCCTGGTTTTTGGGGCCACGACACCAAGAACCCTTGGCCATCTCCAGCCCCCAGCCCCCGTTACTGTGACCCTCTACGTACCCGGACCCTCCGAAGTACCTCGGAAAATGGGACATGACCCGCACAAAAAACAGGTACGACCGTACCCATTTTTCAAGGTACCTTGAGACTCCAGTCCAGGTATATCACTTAGATCCTCAGCTTTGTGAAATAAGTAGACGAGTCTCGATTAATAATGGGACATGATATGAAACCTTTTGGCTTCTCAAAGTATGCAGTATGCATGAACTATCATCATCAACCAGGGCTTTCGGGAAGCCTAGCAGAATTCTCACGGGGGCGTGGACAAATCTCACAGGCCCCGGTCAAAACGGTGACCAACACTCCATACCAACAGAGGTTGAAGAACCCGGGCCTACGAAGTAGACTATATCCCATATATAGGTACCCTGGTAGGGTCCTAGTTCAGGTCACTTCACCTCTGTTGGTGAACCACCGCCTATGGCCACTCGGTGACTTGACCGAGCCACCGCAGCCACTTGACTCCATCGAAACGCACTTCACTCGCCGGTGCGTCGCCGGTGGACTCGCGTCGCGGTGAGGTGCCACACAAGGAGCACTGCCTGGTGATGTTCCGATGCCGTGCCCGGCGGCCCCATTGGGTTGGAGCGGGTTTTGGGTTGGTGGTGCGCGAGCATGGGTTGGAACGGCGGGGCGAAGAGCGGGTGTTGGTGGCGCGAAGACGAAGGTGAAGCGGGGCGTGTTAGTCTTCGGTGCTCTCGAGCAGACGGACCGTGAGAGTTGTTGTTTCTTTTCGGTGAGAGCAGGGCAGGTAGGGTTTGGACATCGAGAGGTGTATTAAGATGTATTAAGGTAAGCCAGAGATCTTTGGTATGGTTTCACATATGGGATTATCTTGGAATTTTATTGAGTACGTCATTCAGGACGTTGAGTTTTTGCATGAATGCAGACATCTTTTAGCAGGATAATTTTGCCGATTCTATGGATGGGGGCATTCTATATTATGGACCTCTTAAGCTAGGAATGAAAAACCGGAGATATTCCGATATCATAAACTCCTAGACACTCCATGTCCATACGTGGTCGCCAGATGTCGCCAGAGGTTTATGTCAGATCCATTGCTCATGTCAGTTGCTTGGGATCCAGTCGTACCTCCTCAGGTTCGGTACGACTGGACCCTCCTGGCACCTACATAACAGTCTCTCCAATCACCGTACCTGAGAAGGTGCGACTGGATCCCTAGGGAGTGATCTCTTGTCCATGGAACGGGTCTCCACATCGCCACACACCCACCACACACCTTGAGGTCCCCACGATGCAGCTTCAAGTGACGCTGAGTGTAGGCCAGAAACACACCGGACGCATCCGGACGCGCGAGGATGTTCGACATGGAAACTTGTGGTTCCCGGGTGGAGAAAATAGGAGAAGGAGCCCCTAGCTGCGAGACTGGCTGGTCGACTCTGGGTTCACCTACTACCTTGCGCAGTGACCTACGAGCAGTTCCCATCACGACATGTTCCAATGACCAGTGACTTGTCCCTTCTGACTTTGGACCTACTGTACCCTGAAGCATGTGTTCCCCGTGAAAGCAAAGACCGGAGCAAGACCAGTAGACCGGTAGACCGGGCTTTTTCAGCGGAACCGGAGTCGCTGGTGGACGCGCCATCCCCAAACACTCACGCTGGGACTGGAATATGTACATGACTCCTGAAATCCACCACTACTGATCGGTCTGCGGTCGTTGGCCGTTTTCCAGTTCAGGTTTCAACCACTGATCGGTCTGCTGAACCATCATCTTGTCTGTCATGTTTGGGGTTCATCTACCTTTCGAAGTGGTGAACACTTTTGGAGCTGGTCGTGATCGTCCAGTGAACTAGGTCGGTTCCACGGTTTGGACCCATTGCCATCGAAGCCCGGTGAGGATAGGGATTGCGTGGTCGAACTCATGGATCATGAATCCCAGTCTCATGGAGCCTTGACCCCCTACCCAGTCACCCTTGGTTGTTTGGGATTGCTTTCCCAACATGGAAGAGGTCGGTTCATCATCAAATCGATTTTCCGCAAAGAATCTCCCGCTCTGCAAAATGAACCGAAAGAAAGCAGCTGTGACACGGAGATTTCGATCACATTCCTGGTCGTGTCCGATCTGGTCGTGTTTGATCACATGTTCCACGCATTCGTTGGGACCACAGCATGAAACCATGCGACGGAGACACGGTTTATACGGCGATGGATCTCCAGGCACCAGCTTCTCGAAGACCCTGATCGCCCTGGGGAAGGCCACCATTGAGGCGAGGGCCCCGTTGGTTCGTGCGTTCGTTGGGTTGACAAAGCGAGGGAAGGTCAGATAGAGAGAACTCAATGAAGAGAGGAACATATGTTTGGAACATGCTCAGACTTATATACTTTGCATTATGCTTGTTCACTTCAATGATGATTTGAGGAGGGAGGCTAGAAGGATACATCATGATACGTCCTTTCATTGATCTAACATGATCCAACCACCAATCCTCAAGGTGATGTTCCCCTCGTTCGTCATTTTCCCCTCCAGTCACCCAAGCTCTGGCAGTGGATGTCTTTTGAGCATCACAGGGTGAAGGGCCCGAACAAGACTGATCGATGTGTTGAAAAGGTCCCCATTTCAGTTGAATCTTCATCTGTCGGACCCCTTCCGAATGTCGGACCCGGACCCTTCCAACCATCATCGAGTCCTGATCTAATCCAACCAAACCCTACATAATGAAATACATGCATTTACCATACCTACATTTGGGGTGCTTGGGGCTCAATCCTAGGTAAATCCAAGAGAGGTTGAACTGCCCTATATATAGCCCATATAAGAGTGTGTACCACTATAGTGTCCTATAACGTCTCTCAAAGTCTCTTGGATATGTCAGTCCCGTGGGTTATCGTCGGACGACCTTTAGAGTTTGGATGGTCTCGGTGTGCGGAGACCGGACCTCAATGATCGTTTTCAAGTGGTGGCTGAGTGGTCTGCGAGGCAGTCTGCTCGGTCACCTGCAAAGGAACCTGAAGCAAAACAAGATGGAACCCCCAACTATAAACGGGAACCCTTCGCTACGCATTCGGGAAAAACGTTGGTCCCAAGAGTGTTTCCTGCATCTACCGACTCTAGACAACTCCATTACAATTCCATAAGAATCTTCTGGCTGGACAGGAGGACTGAATCGGTAGAATTGGAGTGGGAAGGACTGAGTGGTGTGATGCAGTGCCCTGACAGATTCACCCCAACAAAGACCATGTGCCTCTGTGAAAGCCTGTGTGCCAGACTCTTCCTCGGCCTAGGAGGATTTGAAACAACAAAGCTTCCTCCAGGCGGAATGCATCAGGGGTGTGTTTGACGCTTTGCTTGGACCAGAGGGCCGAGGGGTCAGATAAAGTGGGTTTAAGATAATACTCACCCCGCTTAGAGTCAAGATCTAGGAGCCTTGGCAGCTTAACAGACCTTAACAGACCTTGTCACAGATACACCAGGATCACATTCCCGGCCATGTGGGCAAAGGAAGAGATGGACACTCATGAACTCATTGCACTTTTGAGTTGTTGTTTCTTTGACTGGCAAGTTCACTGCTGTTTTGGCTGCCTATCACGAAGCCCAACAAATAAACCTCCTTTGACATGCAAAGATCTGGAATCCCAAGACATTTCAATTCCAGCATTCTCAAGGCATGCTCAAGGAAGCAGTGTTTATCTCGGCAAAGGTTGTCAGTCACAAGTTATGAGGATCCTTCTGTTTTGGCTGATGATCAAATCATGTGTAATCTTACGGATCAAAGTTGAAACAAGATGTAGTCTTGCAGGCCTTATCAGCGTTGTCGAATCCTTTGGATTCTCGATATGTAGACAATGGTTCATGATGGCTTGAAGGATCCAAGATGATCCAACTGAATGGTGCGGCTCCCCCCACCATTCATTGTAGGTCTGGATTAAAAGTAGGAGTGCCCAATGGGTGCTTTAGTGTTTTTTGCTTGAGCTTTCTTGAGTAAATGAGCAGGTATGGCCATATAGTAATATGCTTGCAGGAGGAGGACAGTTTGGGTAACAACTTCATTCAAGAATCTCACTCACATGGCTTCTCTTTCCCAATGGCATTGCGGCGGATCAATTTCCACCCCGAACTAAATTACTATAAATTTGGTATTTGGGGTGGAAATTCATCTGCCGGAATTCCACTGTGATCCCTTGTAGGATTCTAAGGGGAAAGGGTTGTAGGTCATGTATTTATAGGCTTGTTACCAACTGTATGTTGTCCTGCTGTACCTGAACCCTCCAAAGTACCTTAGAAGATTTGACATGACCCGAACAACAGTCTGTGGGATATGAATCAGTTCTGAGGGGCGGAGAATGATGATAGTGATAGACTATAGAAGTCATCAATTGAGACTTGGGCCAAGAGTTTTTGAGGTAAAACTGTAAACATATATAACATATACGTCCCTACAGTACAGAACCCAGTTGACCTTGCTTTGATCACAAAGGATGGGAACCCCAAACAGGGGTCACTCTGGTGGTATGGTGACCTTACAATCCATGTACGAACTATGGCATGTTAGTTACTACATGCACCCCTCATCACGGTCCCCATGATCCCCCAATTGATCGCTAGCCAGATGTCAGTCCCTTCGGATTCGAGCTGGGAGAGTAATTAACATGAGTATTTTTTGGGGAGAGTTACTCATGTTAATTACTTGGAGTACATAATAACTCTCATGAGTTTTATAGTATTAAAATAACTCTCAGTTAATTACTTCATTGGGGTCAGAGAGGGGGTCAGTCATGTAGCTATTCCACTGACCCCCTCTCTGACTGGATCGATCACCTCCCCCTGTACTCAGCCGCAGCGGCAGCGACGGCAGGTGAACTTGGGTGCTCCCGGCGTTCTGGCAGAGGATGGATCGCTGACGGTGCGGCGCCCCGCGGGACTCCGGTGGCCAGCGATCCATGTCAAGCGCCCGTGAGAAGAAGCGGTGAGCGTCGGGGATCCATGTGAGCGCCGCATAGAGCCGGGCGAAGAAAGCAACAGGTCATGCGTGGAAGAACGATACTCAATAATGCATAGACTCTTCATTAACAACCCCCACCCATGTGGATTGAAAAACCTCGGGGCTTTCTTCATCAAGAGTCTACATCACCTTCAATGAGAGTGGATCATGGATTTGGAGGCTCCCACTACTTGACTTCTGACATCTTTTGACTTTTTATTTGTTTGTTTTTGTGCGCAGTTGAAGCAAGAAGATAACTCTTTGCCTGTTATTAAGCGAGTCAGGGTGTTCAGACGGGTGAAGATGGCGGAGGTTTCTCCCCGAGAAGATGCCTCTCAGACGCTCCACTCCCTTCTGCTCCCCAGACACCTTCGATCGCAGTGGCTCGATCCGGCTCTGAGTCTTTTCACTATCGACTATCGGAACTCTAAGATGGTCTATCCCTGACACTCCATGTATGGCATCCTATTGGGGATCATTGGGCCGGTTTCAGGGGTCAATTAGATCCTCTTCTTCAAGAATAAGAAACTAAACACACCGACCACTCGTCCTGACTGGGGAAACACCTAGCTACAGTCAGGCGACCTTAAACCCAAACCAACTGGCTTTGGTTCAACATATTCAAAACCCAAACCCGTGAGGGTCAAAAACTACCCGGTAGGGGAACGGGCTGGGTCCAGACGAGTCGATTGATGTTGATTGATATGTGTTCCATGTGTGTTCCATGTGTTTCCACAAGCAGGTCAACCCACCTAACGTTCTTATATACAGTAAGTTAATGTAAGGGCCTGTTCCCCACCTGGGCGGCATCATCAGAAGCCTCACGTGGGGGGGGTTCACCCCGAACCTTTATACCCCACCGCTGTCCGCTGAGCTCATCGGGGCTGAGCCGCTCAGGTGCGATGTCAGCTGGATAAGGTCTTGGCGATCCCTCGGTCCTTGCCGCCCGGCCGTGACGGGGGGGTCGACTGGCCGGCTCCGAGCGTTTACCAGCAGAGGTTGAAGAACTCGACTTAGACTATCCTATAGTTACCCCTGTAGGGTCCTAGTTCAGGTCACTTAACCTCAATAAGACCTCAGAAGGTAGGGACAGACCCCAACCACCTGTGGATGTGGGCGGATGGAACCCTGGGATGGAACCGTTATATAAGCGACCGCCTGTCACTGGAACGGTTCTTTCATTTGGGGGGAGGACCTCTTGGGTCGTTGTTTTTGATTCCCTCATACTGAATGATGTCCCAGACCACCGACGACAGCGTGTCAAAAGCCCGATCCAATCCCAACGGGGGGCAATTCCTTTTTTCTTCCCCGGTTGCGAATCTATGTGCATTGGATCACCCACTGTCGCACGGGCAAAGTTAAAGGTTTCCACATATGCTGCAAAGCAGTAGCTCGTGTTTTTTTTGTTAAATGTCTTAACAAAGACTCCTCGATGTCTGGCAGCTGCATTGGGTCATCATTGAACTGCAGCGTTTTGCACGTGCACACTGCTTTGTTTGTATTGATCCATGTGTGTGAGCAGGTCGTTTGTCGCTGAATAGCAGCTTCGATATGTTTGATTTTTTCGCTGGTAGTGCATCTGTCGCTGACAAGTGTTATTTGTCCGATGTTTCCCTCTATCGTGCAACGAACGAGAGCCACAACCCCCCCAAAAAAACGAATCTTTTTGTTGCGTGCGTCGTGACATACGGTGACGTCTAGCTTAACCTGAATGGGGACACCACCCCCTTAAAACGGACCAACACGGTCACTCTGTCTTGTTATTGTCTCCTGCAGCATTCCTTTTAGTCCTTAGAGCCGAATTCCGCGACCTTTCCCCCGTCCAAAAGGCCGATGGAAACGAACGGGCAGCATGCCATTGGTCCGGGCATGTTGTAAGCCAACGAGTTGGGGATACCGTGCGTTTCGTATCCTTAACATTCCTTAACCCTTAACAGACCACCAGAAATCCTCCAGCTGTGGAGCTTTGTTGATGCGGTATGTTTTTGAGGTCTAGTGCTGCAGAGGCGAGCGCTTGTTGCAGTTTGTCATTCATATACTTCCCTGAGGATCCACTTACCTTCTCAGAAGGTGATTGGCCCAGCTTCTTGTCAGGACGTTATTGGGTCTTGTTTTGCTCCAGAGAGTCACTGATGCTCTCAGGCAAAGATAGGCCATGCACCAGGGTAACAATCCCAAATCAGACCAAATCCCTGCATGGTGTCAGGCAAGTGAGCCTCTTTTCCACAGCAGCAAGAGTCTTTGGATCTAGCTGTGCATATATGCGCAATAGGTTTCTAGCACATGTCAACCCATAAACATTGTACACAGCTTACACTCACACTAGGAACAACGACACTTGTATGTCTTGGATGTCTTGCACATGGGCCTCCTTCGGCTTGCTGCACTTAAAGGTGCTTGCTGTGTTTTCGGTGTGTACTTTGATGCCTGAGCATGTCTGCTGTCTATGTTTGTCCATGTCTTGCAACCCCCGCTTCGCCAGTGAGACCGGCTCACATCCCAACCTCAGTGCGACACGGCCATGTCGTTGGTGGTGGATAGCACCCTTGAGGATGGCACTCGCTGTGTGGTGGCACCCATGAAATTCAAGGTGTCTGTATCCTGTCTGCATGTGATGTGATTCATTCCCTGTACTCCCTATGCTACACACCTTAACTGGAGAACTGCAAGGTTTAAGATCACTAGTGCTATACTCCCTGGCCCATGATGATCAGGCAAAAGGGCAAAGCATTTGTAATGCAATCTTGGAATATATCAAGCAAGATTGCCCTGATGTGATGTGCAGTGAGGCAGGTCCGGTGAACAAATTGGACTTTTCACTTTAAGCTTCCATGGTGCCTAAAAGCCATTGAAGACTTTCAAAGTTGCAGGAACGCCCGGTTTGCAATTGGAACCGTGAACATGTCAATGCAACAGTTTTGCCCTTAGTTTGTTTCTTTTGGGTGCATATGGAGTGCATAGTGACTGCAAACTTGAGGATGTGTTCTGCTGGGGCTGGTGGGTTTCAGGTTTATGAAGATGACCTGGAGCGCAATTACAACCTCATGAGAGAACTCTTGATCTATATGCGGACGTTCATTTGTGATGGCTTGCCACCCCTGAAGGACTTTGAGGTCTGTTTCATGTTCGTTGGATTGTGTGCCCAACTGTCCAACTCATTGTTTTTGAATGTGGATTCGGTGCACCAAACTATACTATTCAATGTTCAGTTTAGATCATGGATCTGCAAGTGCTACAGGCTGGGTTCCTTTTGAGCACATTGATCAGCAATTGGCACACGGACAAGTACAAGATCCGTGGTGGGAAGAAGCACATCAAAGCACTTTGAATGCAATATTCTATGTAGTGAATATGTTCTTGTACATGTCGTTCATCATGCTCGAATTTAGAAAACGTGACAACCGATACTGTATTTTTTTGTGTCGCTTTGACCTCACTTGGAATTCTGCCCCAAACCATCTTAATCTCAGGATTGGGCTAATACAGAAGCTACGCGTGCAAGGTCGATGCTCCAGCACCTCAACAGGCTTTGCAAAGTTTCTACTGAGAGCAGGCTTGGACACATCTAGCTGGGAAATTATTGGTTTTATTGAAGGTCTCCGGTTTCAATATGGATGCACAGATTTCAATCAATTTTTTGTAGACTTCCAGTGAAGTAGGAGAACAAGTCATTGTGGGGTGATCAGGAACATGAAGCTGCAAGTGCTGAAGAGGCTGTGGGTTGCATACAACTGGTCCAGGCTGGACTCACTCTTGGGTCTGTGGTTTGAGCTTTGAAGGTATTCCATGTGTATCCCTCCGCTTTTGTGTATATATGTAGGGATGGAGCTGGCTCAGCAGATGCTACGGGAGGCAATGAGGCCTGCATGCCATTGTCCTTGATTCCAGTAAAAGTGCTTTGTTTGGTCTTGGCAATTTTTGGTGTATATGTATATATATTCTTCACGGATAGGCGGTCTTAAACGTGGAAAACATGACTGCTCTACATGTGCAGTATACCACTTGTTTTGATCCAGGCAGCTGTTGTGGAGATTGAAGATGATGACAATGAGCAGGCACTTGTGGTTGAAATCGATGATGAGCCTATTGATCAGGCTGGTCTTCACTAGGTACAGCTGTGGGCACTCCAGTTCTAGATCGATTGCTGTACGAATTTGTACCTTGCACTGGTTCGTTTTTGAGGAACAACAGAGAAACCCCTATATTGCATGCAAGGAGGCTGGAAAGCCTGTGTCTGTCCACCTGCAAGTCAGTGCAGGGAACTGTGAGCCAGCTCTGTTGTGAGGAGGAAGTCCCGGCTCTGGAAGCTTCTCAAGTCCCTGAGGCTGGATTTCCCTGTGTGGAGGTGGTTTTGTTTGCTGATTTTTCATATTTTTCTAATTGAGCTTATGCATTGAGTTTGCCATGCTCATGGGATACTAGACTTTGTTGAAGTACGTCAGGAAGTGGCAACAACTGTGGAGCCTGGGGCTGGTTTAGAGGCACCGGATCGTCCATGTTGTTGTTCATAAGTGCCCTGTCTTGCCAAATGGATTGAGCTGTGTTTTTCGTGATAAATTGGGGCCGGGGTTTGTCAGGGTCGAGTCACGGAGGAAGAAACAAAAGAGTCTATGAAGGCACCGGTTGAGGCATGGATGTCCTTTGCATGTTTACCTCAAGCTTAAAAGCTTAAACCTCTCTGGCTGTGTGTATATAACACATGCAATTCATTTGCATTTTTGAAAATGCAGTTTCTGGCTGTATGTGCCTGCAGGAATCTGCTGAACTTCAGCCTCCTGTACTATTGGAGAACCCTCTGGGAGCTGGAGAGGAGAAGGCTCCCCTACATTGCTGAAGCATCACTTTAAAGAACCACCTGCATGGTAGGAGTTTGTGCCTATGAGCCTACGGATAAGAGAATACTTTGAAAAGTGGTCTGGAGCAATGAAGGCCAAGTACTAGATTTGATCATTAAAGTTTTGATACGTGGGGTGCAACCTTTTGAATTGTTGTGGTCAGGCACTGGATTCCGGGAGTCGAAGCGGTGGGAAGGCGATTCAAATTCATTGGAATGAACATTGACTTATATTTTCTTGAAGCCTCCTCTTGCTTATATATATAATATATATTTAGATGTTCATATGTATTGTGGCTAGGGCGATCCGGCTGCTCCTGCTTCGCCATCTGAGGAGGAGACTTTGATTCTTCTAGTAAACCCCTGGTTCCAGGTTTTGTCGCACATAGTGGGAAGCAAGTGCAACTGCAAAACAGGATCCAGCAGATCTCGCCTTACAGCAAGCCAAGCTCCGTCAACGATTGGCAAAGGTGTATGTGTGTGTGTGTGTGTTTAAAGCTTTTGACTTGCACTGTCCTAGTACTAGTGAACAACCAAAGCAAAGTTGTCTGTTTGCAAGGAGAAAAAGGCTGATGAAGCTCAAAAGGTGTTCGAAAAGAAAAAAAGGAAGAGATCAAGGCAGCCAAGGCATTGGAACCAAAGCGTCGGCCTGGCAGGCCGAGAAAGCAGCCTGAACCAGAACAACCAGAGGCAGCAAAGCTTCTTGAACCACCTCCCAAACGCTCTCGTGTCAAGTCTGCGCCTGCTGATGCCTCTGGTGTGAAGCTTGGTGCAAAGCCCAAGAGCAAAGCCAGAGCCAAAGCCTCACCAAAGCCGAAGACTAGTCCAAAAGCCAAGCGTAGTGCCAAACCAAAGGCTTCACCTTCGAAGAAGCAAGCGCGTAGTGCAGCCAAGAAGAAGGTAGCA